GAAGGAAGCGGTCCGACGATGTCCATATCCCATCTCATGAAGGGGTAGGGCGGGACGACCGATGTAAGTAGCTAGGTTGGCTTGTTGATCATCGGAGCGTGCCTTTGACAATACTCACATTTCTTCGCGTAGTCTTCGCAATCTGCCATCATCGTTGGCCAGAAATAGCCCGATTTCTTGATCTTTGAAGTGGTTACCTCCGGCTCTATCGTGAGTTTCCTTAATGATGCGGCGGATCTCGTCGTAATGCAATGTAATATGACGCCCGCGGCAGTCCATCGCATGTGATGTTCTTTATGAAGTGAGTAGTGAGCGCTGCAGACTCGGAGGCGACGAATTGCCCAACGATCCTTAGGTTCCACGCCATCGGCTAAGTAAGCACGGATTTCGTCGCGCCAATATTCGGGTTCCGGTTCCGTTGGTTCCTTGAGCGGGGCGTCGGTTTCGTCTTCTTGATACGTGACAGAGCAAACACCGCGCTCCGGGTTAATGCTCGGGGCTTCGATACTTTGGATCGGGATTAAACAGCAAAGGTTGGTGTCTTTATTTGAAACCAGGACGGCCAGGGCGTCTGCTTCGGTATTTTCTGCTTCAGGTATCTTGGACAGTTCGAAGGTCTTGAACTCCTTTGCCAGGCTCTGAACAAGTTTAAGATACTTGTCCATCCGTTCGTCTTTGGCGTCGTAGTCTCCGCTGAACTGGTTCGCTACGAGTTGGGAGTCGCAGAAAGCCCAGATGTGTTCAATGTTAGTGCCGCGAGCGAGTCGTAGTCCAGCGATGAAGGCTTCGTATTCGGCTTCGTTGTTGGAGGCCAGAAAATCCAAGCGGAATAATTGTTCGAGGACTTCGCCAGTTGGGGATTCGAGCTGAATCCGGATCTCCGAGCCGTGTCGGTTGGATGAACCGTCCACGTGAAGATTCCAGTGTTGAACCATGGTGAGGTCGTCGCTGAGAAGCTCGGGTGGCAGTTCGACCAAGAATCGGCCAAGACCTGGGATTTGGCGCAGGTACGGGTGTGGTATTCGATGTCAAACTCTGAAAGCTTGATGGCCCACTTGGTCATCCGGCCAGATTGGATCGGGCTGTGTGAATAGTCCAGAGTGGCTGACTTGTCAGTATGGCGACCGTATGAGACTGGAAGTACGGGCGTAGCTTCCGGGATGACACGACCACTGCACGGACGAGCTTCTCTAAGGTCGGGTATAGATGTTCCGCGCCAAACTTTTGCTGACATAGAAGAACGGCCTCTTCACCGCGGTCTTCTCGGACTAAGACGCCGCTGATGGCCGAGCTTGACAACGCGACGTACATGTATAGTGTTTCGCCGTCTTCGGGTTTGGCAAGCACGGGAGGCGTCGAGAGTAAAGCTTCTTCACACTTGTCGTCCCCGAAGAAGCCTTTGTTGCTGCGAAGAAGCTGGTAGAACGGGAGGCACTTGTCTGTGGACCGGGAGATAAAGCGATTGAGGGCGGCGTTCTGTCCGGTCAGCCTTTGGACCTCGCGTGTGTTGCGTGGAGAGGGTAGCTCGTGGATGGCTGAGATTTGCTTCGGGTTTGCTTCTATACCGCGTTAAGTGACCAGATAACCGAGGAATTCGCTGGATGTGACCGCGAAGGTGCACTTCGCGGGATTCAGCTTCATCCCATAGGTGTTGAGAATCTGGAAGCATTCGCGCAAGTGGGTGATATGATGGTCGGCCTTTAGTGACTTGACAAACATGTCATCGATGTAGACCACCATTGTGTGCCCGAATTAGTCGGCGAACATCTTGTTAATCAGTCTCTGGTATGTAGCGCCGGCGTTTTTGAGCCCGAATGGCATCACCTTGTAACAGTACTTTCCTCTGTTTGCGATGAACGACGTCTTTTCCCGGTCTGAGGGATGCATCATGATCTGATTGTACCCCGAGAATGCATCCATGAAGGATAGTAGCTCGTTGTCGGCGGTTGCTTCTACGAGTTGATCAATGCGTGGCAGCGGTAAGCTATCCTTAAGATAGGCCTTGTTGAGATCCGTGAAGTCGATGCAAACGCGCCATTTACCGTTCTTCTTCTTTACTACCACGGGGTTGGCGAGCCAGTCCGGATACTGAACCTCTTGAATTGATCCGGCAGCAAGGAGCTTCTCGACTTCGTCCTGGACAGCATGAGCTCGCTCGGGACCGAGCTTGCGCCTCTTCTGTTTGATGGATTTGAACGTGACGTCCACGTTCAGCTCGTGGCTCGTGATGTCCGGGCTGATCCTCTTCATATCTGCCATGGACCATGCGAACGTGTTGACGTTCTCACGGAGGAAGGCGATGAAGTCGTCACACATACTAGGGAGAAGCTCGGTGCCGATTCCGACGCATCGTTCGGGGTGCTCGATGTCGATGCTCACTTGTACGACTAGGTCGTTCTTTGGCTTTTCGTGATGTATGACGCGGGGGTCCATACTGTCGATGACGAATGTAGACAAGTGTCGGACACGTTGCTCGGCGATGTAGCAAGATCGGGATTCGCGCTGGTCGCCTCGGATCGTGATGATTCTATTTCTGCCTGGGTACTTCAGGCACTGATGATACGGTGAAGTGACAACTCGCATAGTACTGATCCACGATGTCTCGAGGATGACGTTGTAAATGGCTGGTTTGTCGATGACATCAAACTTGATTATGGTGACAATGCCTCCTTCGGTCGTCACAGGCAGCTTGATCGTGCCGATGGTAGAAGTGGAGTCGCTAGCGAAGCCAGTAAGTGCTTTCGGGGCGACTTTTATTTCGCTGTCTTTGATCCCCATCTGAATTAGGGTGGTCTTGAATATTAGATCGACGGAGCTGCCTGTGTCGACCGTCTGAACTGATACGGAGGGAGATAACGAGCGGGTCGTTGTGTGGGCGGTCAAGGCCTTCAGCGTCCGCTTCCGTGAAGGTGATGGGCGGGGTGTCGTCATAGACCGGTCCCTTTCTTGACGTTCGTGGTGCGGCACTCATGCTTTTTGATCGAGTTGATTGAGTCGTTGCATGTAAGGAAGCCGCCCATGATCATGTTGATCCTGCGTCAGGGTGACAGGAGGGCAGGTGGTGGAGGTGGCATGTCTTCCCGTGCACGCTTGGGATTCTCGTCATGACGGGCTTGATCTTGAGGCACGGGTGCGCATCAGTCGTCGTCCCGAGGGCGGGGTTGGCGTGAATATCCGTCTCGTAGTCGGTCATCCAGTTTGATTCTACCGGCCAGCCATTCTTGCATGAGAACGTCTCGAAGGTGGTGGCATTCGGTGTCATCGTGGCCAGAGCGCTTGTGCCAAGTGCAATATGGTTGCGATCCAGTGGCGCCGCCCGAGGTATTTACCCATTTGTTCCATGGGTGAGGTCGGGCGATGGTGGAGACGTTGGCTTTGCGAGTCTTGTCGTCGCGATCATAGTGTTGGCGGGGTTCCTGATATTCTTCTTCTTTAGGTCGGGAGCTTGTGGATTTCTTCTTTGCTGCGAGTTTTTTATCCTCCCTGGCTCGTGTGTCCTCCAGATTCATGAATTTGGTGGCTTTGCGGAGGAGTTCGTCAAGGGATTAGTTTTTGCCCGTCGCGATTTTGTCATAGAACTTCTGGTTTTTGCGAAAGTTGAGCTTGAGGGCGATTATGGCGTTCTCATTTGTCGGGTCGCATTGGGAAATGACCGATGTAATCCCGGAGGGTTTTCTTCTCTCCTTGGATGCAGGTCCAGAGGTCGGAGGTGTTTCCCCCTGGAGTAGTGTCGAAGGAACTCTAGAGAGAGCTGGGCGAACGTCTCGATGGAGTTTGGTCGGAGTTTGGAGAACCACTGGAGGGCATTTCCAGCCAGGCACTCCACGAAGTATTGGCAGAGGGAAGCGTCGTGTTCTTCGGGTGAGAACCGAGCACAGTTCATGGTGTTGTTGAAGGTCATGAGATGTTTCTGTGTGTCTGTATTTCCGACAGATGACGCTGGGAGTTTGAGCTTCACGTTGTCGCGTAGGAGTACGCAAGTGATGCACTCGGCGAACGGTGTATGCTGAGTGAGCAAGACTTGTTCGAGCTCGAGGGCCGAGCTGGTTGCGTTATGAACCTGCGACTTAATTTCGTTGATTTTCTGGTGGAGCCGGGTAATCTCGGCTTGCGCAGGGGTCTCGTGGGAGGTAGAGTCTGGGGGGGACATGCGGGATTTGTGTTTAGATCGGATGCTGGAGTCCTTTACGTGCTGACCTTCGCTGCCCCGTGCTGATGTAGGGGTTTCACCGAAGATAAGGCGTTTGGCTCCCGATACTGTGGTGTCCAGGGGTATATGGATGGCTCTGGGAGTGCCGGTCTCGGTGTCGTCTATATCCGTGGTGGAGATTCAGGTCTGGACTCCCATAGTGTCTCAAGGTACGCGACCTGCTGAGCTTTGAGAACCCCAATCTGCTCGTTCATTTTGTTGTCCATCTGTGCCATGAACAATTGTAGGATGCCGGTGATGTCCGTTGGTGCGGTTGGAGGTGGAAGGGGCGGGAGTGTGCCCGTCGTGTTGAGGGCGCTCCGGGCTGGCGGAAGGTTGGTCTCGCCGGTCGTCCCGTGCTGTTGGACGTTTGAGCTGCCACCAGGCTCTAGAGGGGCGGAGCCCAGTCTGGTCTGCGGTATCCTGGGGTTGTTCCCGACCTGATTAAGGGCAGGTGGTTGGATGATCGTATCGTCGGTGGTATTGTCGGTGGATCGCTTCTCCGTGGATATATTCGAGTTCTGGCGTGAATAGATAAACTTGTATCTTTTGTTCCTCACAGACGACGCCAATTGTAAGATCTGGATATCTCCTCTAAAGAAAATATAAAGATTTATGGGGGAAAAGATAAAGTTGTTTTATTGATTAGCCGGAGCTCGAAGTGTACAAGAGTTTTAGGTCGTCGGAAAAGAACGCCGACCTAAAATTTGAGAGTAAGAACCGAGATCTAAAGCTGAAAGCAATAAGCTATTGTTTGCCCTAGGTCTCAAGTCCGAAGTTGTGAATGAATCATATTCGAGGAAGGGGACTCTTCTTATATAGCCTTCGTAGACCGCGTTGAATCGAATCTTTCTCCTTTAGGATAAGAATAGTTTTCTTTCTTTTCGGGGTTCTCTTTCTTTTTCTTCCGCGATTCGAATATATCTTCGGATATTTCCATTTTTGAGGGCCGTTCTAAATCCGGAGGCGGAAGTAGAGTTTCAATTGGATTTCAATCTGAATTTATGAAGGACTTTTAGCAAAGGGATGCTAAACCCATCACTAACAGTTTCGTAGGAGAATTGCTGATCGGTTTAGCCAGCGAGATATTAACGAGTCCTAGCTCCACTGTCATCGGTCTGTTAAAAACCTGAAGGTAATTGATATTGAGCTGCTAATCTCTTACTGTACCCGGCTCAGAGTTTGACCTCTGTAATTGCGAAATTTGATTGTTGGATCACGAGATTGTTTGATGTTAGAGTTTGAATTTAATATACTGAGATGGAAACTCGACTTTTGCCAGGGGAATATCCATTACAAAGTTCATTGCTTGATAAATTGTTGGAGCTCCTGCCGTAGTTTTGAATCATATAGAATTGAAAGTTTGAGACTTTAGATTATTTGATCTTCTGCTTTAGTTTTACAACCTAATTCTACTGGTGAGTCTAATACTGCTCTTATTGATTGGTTCTAAAACACATTGTCAAGCTCATTGGTTGATGAGTCGTACCATAAAAGAGGGAACTTTCTTTGTCTACAGACAATGTGTTTGATCAAATGTCTAAAAGAAATTATTTTCCCAGCTTTGCAACTGAAACGAGCTAGATTTTACTCCGTCTGATAGTTTTGAACTTTCTTAGCTTTGCTTTAAGCCTTTAACATGTTAGATTTTAGATGGTTTTGAATTTTGTTACACTTTGTATATCAAGAATGTTGAGTTCAGTTGTTGAGTGACACATTAACATCCCTACTTGTAACTCTGTCTTTTGATTCTTTTGATTATGTTGTCTCGGAGTTTCATTAGAGTTGTACCAAAAACATTTGAGATGTGAAATTACGATGAATTTGACAGGATTGCGGCAAATATTCTGATTTTGGTTAAACCTCAAGAGTATGGCGAATAGCAAGTACGAGTACGTGAAGTCATTCGAATCGGAAGACGAAGTCATGCTTCCTAATTTGATGGTTGTTCGGATCGATGGTCGTGATTTTTCTAGGTAATATTCCTCGCTTTTGTAGTATTGGTTTTGGTTCTGTTCATGAGATTGGTCATTGTTTCAGATGTGTTTTTGATGTTAGATCTTGTTGAATATGTAGTCTCTGTAGAATATTTGAAAGAAAACAATGACTAAAGGCGGCGACTTTGATGGATTTGGAGAATGATTGCAATTTTCATAACACTATCATAAAAAGTACTTGGAAATTAATTGCATTTGTTTTAGTTTCACCTCTGTCGGAGTCGATAGTGTTTCGCATTGTTCTGAAACTTGAACAATAATGAAAGATGTATGTATATATAAATCTTGAGAATGTTATTCGTTTGCTTCTTACACCCTTTTACCTTGTTAATAACTATAGATTCTCTCAAGTTCATGAGTTTGAGAAGCCTAATGATGAATCAGCCCTCAATCTGATGAATTCCTGCTCAGCTGCGGTTTTGGAAGAGTATCCTGACATAATCTTTGCATATGGATACTGTGACGAATACAGGTGACTAACTCGCTTGGTTGACTCTATTCGTCTTAGATTTTACACTTACTACTATACCTGTATATGCCATATTCAAGATTTTAAATGTGTTCCATGTGTTCCGTAGCTTTGTATTCAAGAAAACATCAAGATTCTACCAGAGACGAGCCAGGTATTTATTCAATTAGATTTGATCGATATTTCTGTTCAAAATCGAATTTAAGAAACCTTTTGCACAATGATATGTAGCCTTCTTTTGCCTGGTTGACTCATAGTTTTTGCGTTCTTGTTTTTATGTAACGTGCAGTAAGATTTTGTCTTTGGTAGCTTCGTTCTTTGCTGCAGCCTATGTAACGAAATGGAAAGAGTTTTTTCCTCAAAAAAAATTAGAATATGCTCCTTCCTTCAATTCAAAAGTTATAAGTTGTGCATCAGCAGAGGTTCTTCAAGCTTATCTCGCGTGGAGACAACAAGACTGTAAGACTTTCATGATAATTTATGCTCCAGATATTATGCATACTTATTGGCGTTAATTACTACTCGGACTTCTAACAACTTCGATTTCGTGGTTGCAGGCCACGTCAGTAATCAATATAACACTTGTTTCTGGTTGTTAGTTGAAAGTGAAAGGAGCATAAGTGAAGCACAAGAGCTTCTCAAGGTGTGTTGTTTGTGTTTTCCCTTGACAGATTATAATATACTTGGCTTGGAAAAGCTTTAGCACTAGTACGATATATAGATATCAAGACGGTCCTTTACCTTCACCTGGTATAATGCCTTCAATCATTTTTATTGTTTGATCACATGATCTCTATTGGATACCTGCAGGATACACAAAAACAGCAGAAAAATGAGATTCTCTTTCAGAAATTTGGTATCAATTACAAAACGCTTCCTGAGTTGTTTCGCCAAGGATCATGCCTCTTCAAGACAAAGGTATATATATAACACTTGTATGCTTGCCTTGGTATGTGCCGTATATGTGTTCAGAAATTTAGGCCTTCCATTTGTAAGTTGGGTCTTTATAAAGATTAGTAAGCTCAGTTTATAATGGTCCACGTGTATGTTTAGGTTTTTGCATTAAACTTATATTGTCTGAACTTGTAATTCTAGTCATGAGGAAAAAATTATTCAACTTCTGCTTAGTTGATATTTTTGGTTTCCAAATTGTTGTAACTGGCTGAAGATATGTGTTATCTTCTCCATATAGTGAAAAATGAGATCTTCTCTTTTCACTGCATCTTGTTTGTTGCCATTGTTAATTTGCTTGATGCTGTGTACCTCGAACTTATTGTAGATTTCAAATATGAGCTAACTTTCCTTTAACTACATTTAGGTGGAAGAAACTGTAAAGCATGATGAGAATGGCAATCCCGTAAAAAGATTGAGGAGAAAGGCTGTATTTGTACATTCGGAGAATATTGCTGGAAGAAGCTTCTGGAATGAGCAGCCCTCCCTGTGTAAGGATCTTGGTCACTTCACGAAAGACATTGGCAAAATTGAACCAGATTTTGTTCGGTCGTTTCAGTTTGAGAACAAATTGTTGCCTTTAACTTGGGTCGTGGTTAGGATTGATGGCTGTCATTTTCACAGGTAAAACATATTCTTTAGTTTGTTTCCTTATTCTCATATAACCTTGTTATACAATTTTTATTGCATTGAAGCATTAGACTAGGAGAATCCTTGTGCTCCCCAGGAATCAGCTATATCATGAAATGATATACTTCTTTGGCTGGTCTGTTCGATTTGCTTATATGTTATGTTGTGGTTGCTTATTTCTAGGGCGTATTCTTGTTCTTGAATCTTATACTTTGTCTACAGCATCGTTACATGTTGCAAATGAAACTCACAAAGCTTGCTTGAATTTTGATAGATTTTCTGACGTTCATGAATTTGAGAAGCCAAATGATGAGCAAGCTCTGAAACTTATGAATTCATGTGCAGTGGCTGTTCTCGAGGAATTCGAGGATATTCAGTTTGCATATGGTGTCAGTGATGAGTACAGGTCTCCCTCTCTGAACCTCTTTTATAGTATTAGCTTTTTACATACGTTAGATATTAATTAAGTATTCATCATCGGTTCCAGCTTTGTTTTGAAGAAAGAATCTGAGCTCTACAAAAGACAATCCAGGTTAAACTAAATTTCTCATTTCCCCCCTACAGTTTTGACTCCATCTCCCTGATTTTCCTGTTCTTAATTTCTGGTTATTGTATTGCAGCAAGATAATATCTGCAATCGCATCCTTCTTTACATCCACGTATGTGATGCAATGGGGAGATTTCTTCCCTCACAAAGAATTAAGGTACCCTCCATCGTTCGATGGACGAGCTGTATGCTATCCAACTTACAAGATTCTCTTGGATTATCTGGCGTGGAGACAAGTTGACTGTGAGTACACACTGGCTGAGAAATGATTTGGAATCATCTACATCTTTGCGAAATGAATCCTTAATATATGAGTAGCCTCATGCTTACTTTCTTTTCTTCTTTTTTCGTTTGGCAGGCCACATCAATAATCAGTATAATACATGTTTCTGGATGCTTGTTAAGTCTGGAAAAACCAAAACTCAATCCCAAGATTACTTAAAGGTGCTTTGTTGTGATGTATAATAAATCCATCAATGCTTGCTCTTTGTTCATGATTTCAAAATGGTTCTTCTTATCTTGCTTTTTGTTAATAACACTTCCAGGGTACTCAAACACGAGAGAAAAATGAGCTGCTTAGCACTCAATTTGGAATTGAATACAATTCATTACCTCTAATCTTTCGGATGGGTTCTTCGGTTTTCCGCTTAAAGGTTAGTTATTGCCTTTTCATTCTTTAAAAATATGTGTGTGATTATACAATGGACTTGGCTAAAGAACTTCAGAAATGCCAATCTGGTTTTGTTTATTATCATCTGAACCAATTAAGTAACTCAAACCTTGGTTACTAACTCCTAAAATGGCTTAAATCACACACCAAACCTGAATGTTTGCTGCTCGTTTCTTACAAAACTCATCAAGCATTTGAATGGTGTGGAACTTCTTCTTTCACATTAAGAACTGTATGAATATTTCATTTTCAGGAAGCTGTTACAGTTGAGAATGGGGCAGTTTCAGGGAAGAAACTGGAAGGAGAAGTGGTCGTAGATCATTGCAACATCATCGAACACTCTTTCTGGGAAGAACATCCACACATTCTTAGCTACTCATAAAACAGCTGCCTTTTCACTTCATTTGTAAGACTAGTTTAGTTTGTTGTGCAAACGTGGAATCATTATGATTACATTTTGAATTGTTACAATTGTTAAGTTAGTAAAAAAAATTATTTTGAATATTTTCACTCTTTAAGTATGAAATAGCTTATATAAAACATAAAAATAAATTATTTATATAATCGTGTGGAAGATGAGAGAGATATGTAAGACATTAAATTCACACCATACCTGTGCATCGACCAACTAATAATAGCTCCTCCTGATGCGTTACGTAAAAGTAACTTTATCCTCTCAATTTCTTTTATTTTATTTTATTTTATTATATAGTTAGTAAAGACAATAGTATTAATTATGTTGTAACTCCAAATGTCTATCAAGTCGGTCCGGCTACTTGATACAGACTGAAATTTTCAAGTCTGGTGGTTAGAATTTTAGAATTGTTTTTGTTCTCATTCCATATTAGAAACCGACTTTTTTTACCTATGTACAGTGTAGGTGACTAAGTCTTGAAAAATATACATGGATTTTTTTTATATCTTAACAACTTTGATATATATTACGTAATCAAAATGGTCAAAGTTCTAGATATTATTTCCTAACATTCAAGATCTCTCTTTGAATAAGCTAAAATTGAAAAAAATCAGATAAAATTTCGATTCCATAATTGTTCAATCGATAAGTGAAACAATGATAACTAAGCATAAAAAATAGAAAAGTCATTATCTCTATTTTTATTTTTTCAAGGATATATTTTTGTTCATGTACCGAATAATGAAAGAAAATAAAATCGAGAAATAATAAATATGAAGTCATGGATGTCTACCCCACCAGCATTCGTCACAAGAGATTCCTCATTTAGAGCAATCTTGTTCCTATACATTTCTCCACCATATATATAAATACAAAATATATATGTCGATAATATTTATAATTCTTCTCTTTCTTCAAAAATAAAAAACTCAGAAAAGAGAGATAGAGAAGAGACCAACAACACTGAAAATGGCGGATGAATCTCCAAAGTCTATCTACGACTTCACCGTCAAGGTATTGCTTTTTTTATATTGTTCTTATTATGTTTCATCTTTAGATTCTTAATACATATAAACAAGAAATGGAAAAGAACAAAAAAGAGATTTCATTTTTGATCCAACTACAACAGCGGAACTTCCAATGTTGGATCTCTCTCTCTCTCTCTCTCTCTCTCTCTCTCTCTCTCTCTCTCTCTCTCTCTCTCTCTCTTTTTAAAGGTTCGTTTAAGAAAGATTGTTTATATATATTGTTGAACATCGCAGGATATTGGTGGTAACGATGTGAGTTTGAACCAATTCAAAGGCAAAACTCTTCTGATTGTAAATGTTGCCTCCAAATGGTAATTAACCCTTTATTTTAATTTTGTTTTCACTATTTTAACAAATAATTATGTTAAAGGTCACTATAGTTTGTCTAGTTTCACAAGATTTGAATGGAACACAAAGGAAAGATCTTGCGAAAATTCGTAGTTGATTACGGTTTAATATTTGGTTTTGTTTTGTAAGAAGAACAGGAAGGATTCTAGTAAGATTTGTTATCGTTTTTATTAAAAAAATTATTTGCTTGAATTCATTCATAAATAATAAACAGAATATTTGAAAGAAAAAAGATGAAACTAAACTAAATTTCTTTTTACTGCAGTGGTCTGACGGATGCGAATTACAAGGAACTGAATGTTTTGTACGATAAATACAAGGAGCAAGGTCTGTGTGATTTATATATATATACTCTCAGAAAGTATTTAAATCTGGATTATGTAATTTTCAATATACTTACAGAAAATGTAAAAATTAATAATAGGGTTGGAGATATTGGCATTCCCGTGCAACCAGTTCTTGGGACAAGAACCAGGAAACAATGAAGAGATTCAACAAACTGTCTGCACCAGGTTCAAAGCTGAATTCCCCATCTTTGACAAGGTACTTAATGTTTTTTTTATTTATCAGATTTAAATATGTAAAACTTTTACTAATCACACTTTAATCAAAATTACCAAGCTACAACACTTTTTATCCAGTCAACATTTTAAAACCCAAAGTGGACTTGGACCACAATATACGGTTTTTGTTTTGTTTTGTTTCTCTATTTCCAAATATTGTCAACATTTTGACCCTATTTACTAATATGTAGTTAAGAAAGAGTAGTTTTTTTTGATGAAAATACTTGACGGAAACGTTGACGGCAATATAGGTAGATGTGAACGGGAAGAACACGGCGCCGTTATATAAATACTTGAAAGCAGAGAAAGGAGGTTTGCTCATTGACGCCATCAAATGGAACTTCACAAAGTTCTTGGTTTCTCCTGACGGCAAAGTCTTCCAGAGATATTCTCCCAGAACCTCTCCTCTTCAATTCGAGGTACGTATTAACCAAATCCCGGTTCTCTCATAAACCGGAATCCTCTACATTTCCATGTTATTAATTTCACATCTCATAACCGGTTTTTTGAATTTGTGCAGAACGACATTCAAACTCTGTTGGGACAGGCTTCTTCTTGATCATCATTATCCACAAGATTCAAGAACGCGCTTATAATATTTATTCAACTTCCGTTTGGTCCACATGATCTTAGAATCAACAACATTGCAAACTTGTTTTCTCTGAATCTGTGTTGTGTTTTAAATAAATGTTGTCGATCGTCTCATTTGTTGAGAAACCGTTTCATATTTATCATGTGACTCTTGTTTAAAGCTCAAACTAGAAAGAGCTATATCGAGTAATAAATTCTATTAGACATTAGACAGTTGTATACGCTACAGAGTCTAACAGAACATGTGAGGATCTTGTCTACATCTTTCCCTATCGTACACGACACGTTAAGCGTGTTCACAACCTATGACCACAAGTTTCTGATTCTATCCCACAAACGGGAAAGAAAAGACAGAGAGAATCACAAGGACATGTTTGCTTTTTTTGACATCTTGTGGCTGAAGCAAGATCACGAGCTTTATCATCATCATCTAAGCCAAATTTACCAATGATACAAAAACAAGACAGATCAAGATCACGAATCAATCATATGTAAGAAAACTAACACAACAGTTAGATCAGTTTACCTCAGCCAAAAGCAGAGGTCTTTCAGACATAAAACCAAATGGTGATTTATCTCTCTAAATGTCACCACTGCATACGAGCCTACGAGGACAAGAACCGTATTCAAATGTCAGATGTTAAAGCAACCACATTGCACTTAAACACGAAAAGACCAGATTGTAGACAAAAGAATTTCAAGTTTTTTTATTCATTGACACATTTATTCCCCAACTTCATTGAAATTATTAGACTAACAATACTACTACACATACATGGAATTAAAGGAAAGCCAAACCAGTTTCATGTCATCCATGGACCCATTGCAGGTCTATTCTCAGCTAACAATGGCGGAGACTTCATTCATGCAACGGAAGGTCTTGATTTCGTCTGGTTCAACCCATACGTTCATACAATGGTTTCTTCTTCAGCTGCACAATCGGACGGTGCAAGCTACGGCTTGAGCCCAGTATTTGAGTCTAGCTTTTACTTCATCAGGATTATCACCTGGCAAAACAATCAGATTGGAACAATCATCAGATATTGGAATCAAGAAAATGTTCTTCAAACGAAATCAAGAGCAAACGAAGATCTATCTATAAATGGAAAGATTTACTTACCAGGGCTAGAGATCTTCCAGTTTGCAATTGGGATGGTCGTTGTCGGTGGTGGCGGCGAATCCTCTTCCTCCGGAGACATCTCCGGCGACTTCTGGTGGTTCTGCTGATCATCCAAGAACTTCTGGCTCATGGAGTAACAGAGCTCTAAAGCAGGCAAAGTGTTGCAGAGCTCAGGGATCTCGTCGTAGCTGAATCCAAAACCAAGATCTAAACAACCTTTAAGCTCCTCGAGATCATCATCCGTCAAGCTCTTGGCTCTCGTCAGATCGTCTTGATCATCTGTCGCAGCAGCCTCAACGTATCCCTCAAGCAACACCTGGCTCTTCCTCTTCTCCAGCTTGTTCTCTCCGGCGAAACTTACAACGCGATTCTCGATCCCAGACCAAGCTTCTTGGATTCCACCTCCGCCGTTGTCGTCTTGTTGTAGAGAAACTGTGTTCGATGTTTCAACATTTGGCTTCTCGTGAACAGAGCGTGTCCATGGATCTGATGACTCGAAGTGAACACAACCCATCTCTATCTCTATCTCTCTCTTTCCAATTATGTTTGTGAGGGTTTGTTTATCGGAATTGAATGGTGAGGACAAGTTCTCGTTATAAAGTGAGACGATTTGTGTGGTTTCTTAGAAAAGAAGCATCAATTATTGGTTGGCAAATGGCATCTTCTTCTAGTATGCCATCTTGTGGGCCCGATTCGTACACGAATCAATGATTCCATGAAATGTGTGTACAAGAAAAGAAACTATGGGCTACTCATATTTAATTCTGAATTTTCAAAACTATATAAACGACCGATTCGTATCAAAATTCAGGATTTATTAGAAAATCTTACCATATAACATGATTTAAATCAATTTTCAATGTTCCCTGAATTAGCTATCGGCAAAACCCTTTAAAATGATCAAACAATTTAGCAGTATTAACATGATTGGTTGGTTCGTTATCATTTCGAGAAGACAAAACAATTTCTAGAACCAAAAGCGGATTTCAGCAAAGAAAAGTCGAGATACTTGTAGAAATATAATTTCAGGAAGGGTGTCTGATTCGAAGATACCAGAAAACTATAAACTGTCAAAAGCGGCAGAAAAGTTAAAAACAAAATCACATGGAGTAGAGTAGTAAAAGGGTTTTTCTTCTAGGCGACAGGGATCATCTCCGGGTAATCTGAGGCCGTGATAGGCGCTTCCGGCAAAATAGGAACCGGAGCAGCGACCTGAGCAGGAGCGGGGTTCTTCTCGTCTTCCTTGGGAGAATGGATGATCACAACATCAGGCAATGGCGTCTTCGGTCCTAGTTTGCCCGCCGGGTCCCAGTCAAGCATGACCTTCACCTTGATTCCGAGCACACCCTGCACGTTACGGTTTAACGTGGTCTCTGAGACAGGCATTGTTGGTTTACTTAATCACTCAGCAGAAGAAGAAGAAGAAGAAACAAACCTGTCTAAGCAAGACGTGTCTCACTGCAGAGTCGATGTACTCTTTTGTGGGTTGACCAGATGAAACCATGTAACCATCCTTGAACTTCATTGACTTTGCTCTTGCTGCACGGAGTTTTCCACTCACAATCACCTGAAATCATGCGTTTTAGTTAATTAAGATGACGACAACGTCTGAGATAAATATTGTAGTGAAAATACTGATATTAGTTCTCACCTCACATCCCTTAGCTCCACTCTCCATGACAAATCTCAAGACACCATAGCATGCCCTGTACAACACAAGACCATTTCAAATTTAACATCTTGGGATGATTGTTATTGAAAAACGCAGTTTGGCAACAAAATCAGCGTGTTGATAGACATGATACACACAAAAAATACAGAAAATGCCAAATCTCTATGAAGGAAAGTACTAGATGCCTAATATAACTAGACATTCACGATGATATCCTATACATATAACTATCAGGTTTGGTGAATGCTAATGAGAGCCGTAATCAAATGGTGAATCAAATCCAACAAAGCAATATCGCAGTACCTACGAACAGCGAGTCCACCGAGAAGCTTGTAACGGAGAGACTCAGCCTGAGCAATGGCGCAGAGACCTCTGTTGTTGACCTTCTCAGCGTAAAGCTCAACACTGTCTGCAGGGAACCTGAATCTCTTCTGCACAAGAGATGTCAACTCTCTGATTCTCCTTCCCTTCTCACCTAAACACCCCAATAACTACAAACTTAGTAACCGTTCTCCGAAATCTACTATACACACAAGTCTCTTCATTTCGTGTTGTTCCAAAGGAAGAATCGATCCAACATACCGAGAACGTTCTGGGTTCGGGTGGCTCTGATGATGATCTCAGTCCTCATCGGAGTAACCCTAACCTCCACACCGGAGTAGCCATCCTCTGCAAGCTCCCGGGTCAAAACCTCGTTCAATTCGGCGTAGAACACACCGTCAGATACAAACTACAAAACCCAACACAGTTACGGAAATGGTTAAATATATGAGGTGAATTAAGAGATCCATTGGAAGAAATAGGATTCAGTGAAATTCACCTTTCTCTTCTTGCTGATTTGCGTCGCCATGTTGGAAATGGTGAAGTTTTGCCGATCGAAGAAAGCCTGAAACCCTAGAGTTGGGGCGATGAGCGGTAATTAACAAATAAATAGTTGGAGTCTAGGGTTTCTATGTATTGGTCGAGCTCGTTTGTTGTTTAATGCAGCCCATTTATGATAAGATCGGCCCGTTTTTGGATAAATGCGGCCCATTTAAAAATACTCTTTATTTACTTCAATATTTCGAATAAGGTGTGTGAACCGCGAAGTGTGTAGACCAGAAGGAAACAAATTCTGGAGCCAAAGGTTTGGTATTTTGTAGCAGGCGCATTCCAATAAGATAAGTTTAGCATCCCAAGTTTTGGTTTTTCTTAAGCATCAGATATTGGATTTATCTTAAAAGAAAACTATGCACTAAGTCGTTGGTAAAAATAAAACTTTGCAAATTAGTTTGATAATTATCTTAACTTCGGTCCTCTTCTAAATCCGGAATTCAGAATCAGGGTTTAGAGTCAAGTTATGTTTGTTTATTATATGTGATTTTGTTTGTCCATCTTATTAATTGTTAAACCAGTAAACTAAAAGTTTTTTTTTCTCTAATCTTTCATCTTTGCCAACGAATTTAAATTTATCTTCTTTTGACCATATTGTTTTTTCAGTTAATTTTTTTTTCAGGTTTCATATCTTGATTTAGACTATAAGATTCAAAGCTCTTTATCCATCTGTTTTTCAATTTTTAAGAAAAAGAAAAAAAAAACTCAGAAATCCAGCAAAGGTCCAACAAAACAAAAGTTGACCTTCAAATTCCTTATAAATTCATCACCAAACACATTTTATAATCCATCAAACACACAAGAAACAACAAAGATAAAAAAAAAACAATGTCGACTTCTAAAACCCTAACCTTCACTCTCTTCTTCATCGCAACACTACTCGCGTCCTGCAACGCAGCCGCAAACAACACAACGCAACCGCTCTTCCCAGCGATTCTAATCTTCGGCGATTCAACCGTGGACACAGGGAACAATAATTACCCATTAAACATAATCCTCAAAGCTACACATATTCCTTACGGCATTGATCTCCCAGACCACAAAGCTACCGGAAGATTCTCAAACGGAAAACTAATCCCCGACATACTCGCGGCCAAATTCAACATCAAACAGTTTGTCCCTCCTTTCTTACAACCTAATCTCTCCGACCAAGAGATTGTGACCGGAGTCTGTTTTGCATCAGCCGGTGCGGGTTACGATGAGCGAAGCAGTCTCTCGTCACAAGCGATTCCTGTCTCGTATCAACCTACAATGTTCAGGAGTTACATCGCTCGCCTTAAGAGTATCGTAGGAGACAAGAAAGCTATGGAGATTATAAACAATGCTTTGGTGGTTGTAAGTGCAGGGACTAACGATTTCATCTTGAATTTTTACACCATTCCTACAAGGCGTCTTGAGTACCCTTTCATCTCTGCTTACCAAGAGTTTATACTTAAGAGGCTTGACAACTTCCTCCGGGTAATGTTTCAAACATGTTCTCAGATTATCTCTAATCAAAACCAAAATAGTATTGTCAGATTTCGGGGTTGTTGACTGACATGTCTTTTCCGGTGTGAGTGCAGGAGCTATACAGTTTAGGTTGCCGGAACATTCTTGTCGCCGGTTTACCGCCGATTGGTTGTTTACCGATCCAAATGACAGCTAAATTCCGCAATATCCTAAGGTTTTGTTTGGAACAAGAGAACAGAGACTCTATTACATACAATCAGATTCTTCAGAAGCAGTTAGCTCAGACCGAAGCCTCTCTTACTGGAATCAAGATCCTTTACGCCGATATCTATGATCCTGTAATGGACATGATGCAGAAACCTAGCAAATACGGTATATATATATACTATATAGTAGACACAGTCTCTTTCTTGTCCCACAAGTTATCCTATGAGATGAAATTTTAAAACTGATTATACGATCTTGAAAAAAAACAGGGTTTAAAGAAACGAAGAGAGGATGTTGTGGAACAGGCTTATTGGAGGCGGGCTTCATGTGTAATGCTTTCTCTCCGTCGTGTGGGAATCGCTCGGAATATTTGTTCTTTGACTCGATTCATCCATCAGAAGCTACTTATAATTACGTCGGTGATTTGCTTGAAGAGGATATCCGTAACTGGATTGCGGCTTAAGTTAAACACGATTTACGAAAATGTCACAATGTTTTTTGTTTCTTTATACGAATATATATTAATGTACTTTTGTATGTTAATCAATATAACTTTGCCTCCTAGTGAAGGCTTTAAATTTTAACCAAAGAAAATAAACATGGTTGTGGATTTCATTTTAAATCCGTCAATATTTTATCTACTCAACATTCAACAAGAGAAAAAAGCGTACCAAAATAATTGTGTAGTTTTGACCTTCACAATACTATGTAGTCTAGGCATGATAAATAGTATTTTCTTAGAATTGAAAAGAAATGAAAAGTTGTCCTTGTCACATGAGTACACACAACCTCGTCATCTTCATCCTCCTCTTGCTTAGTTTGTTTCTGGTTCTAGAGTCTTTATCATAACCCAATCCATGTTCGCCAACTTCATCGATTATACCTTCCTCCGGCGAGTGTTCTACCAATCTTATCCTTATGTGAAGAATATGTATATAAAAAACAACATAACGTTCGTGAAAGTAGTATGTATTTTTTCTTCTTTTTGGTCAGAATGTTTATTCACGAAAGTAGCTAGTTTGAGCCAGTTAGCTAGGGGATTTCAGATTAATCTCCCTCTGCAACGTTGTGTATAAAGTTGTCTCCAAAATCTTTGCAAAACACCTTCAGCTTCTCTTCCCAAACATGATCTCCAACTCACAATTCGCCTTTGTCAAAGGTAGATTTCTTGTCGGAAATCTCCTGCTGGCAACTGAACTTGTTCATGATTCAAATTGTGAAAATATTTTAAAAAGAGGTCTTTTTAAAGTTGATATTTTTATAAAAAAAAAATCAGTATATAAATAATTAGACTTTATCTGAATAATTTTCAA